GTTTTTATAAAGTTTAATATATTAACTATATCGTTTTTCTGTAGTTCAGCTTTTTGAAAAGTTTGGTTCGAATGATCATCGAAAAGAGTGTGATGATGGTTTTATTTATTTTAATGCTTTAGTTATGAAAGAATGAATAATTTATTAGGTAAGTTAAATACTAGAAAATTTATTAATTAGTATAATATAATGCTAATAGCTAATAAAGTTTTTTTATATATTAATAGGTTCATTTTATAATAGTAATAAAAAAATTGAAATAAAATTATTTAAAATTATTCAATTATATTTGCTATTGAATAAACTTACAATACAAGCAGAAGAATATTTATATACATGTTTACAGTTTATTGTACAAATAAAAATAATCAGCAATTTTTTTATAAATAATGAAATTAACTGCTAAAGGTTTCTATCAATGTTTACAAACATTGAAGAAAGCTTAAGAACTAAAAATGAACTTTTTTAGATGCTTTTTTAGAGTCTAAAAATATTAAAAAGAGGCTTTTAAATGAATTATTAGCTTTTTTTTTTAAATATTAAGATGAGTACTTGCAATACAGGATTTTATTGATAGTATATTTGGCTAATAGTTGCATTACAACTATAGATGCTAGTGAAATAAAATTGGGGTGGTGAAATGATTTCACTATTTCACCAATCACCAATCGGTATTGGTGTAATTGGTGTAACTGGTGAATTGGTGTAATTGGTGTAATTGGTGAATTGTAGTAAATTGGTGAATTGTAGTAAATTGGTGAATTGGTAAAATGGTGAATTGGTGAAATGGTGAATTGGTAAAATAGTGAATTGGTGAAATAGTGAAATAGTGAAATGGTGGAATGGTAAAATAATCAGGTGAATTTCTAGAGTTCAGAAATTCACCTAATTATTTTAATCTGGAGTCTAGATTGTATTTGCTCTCCGAAGGTTAGATTTTTGTTCAAGTTTTTATGCTTTTACAGGTACTCTTAGAGATCAGAACCATTAACTGCTATCTGTATATCCATATAGCCAACACATATCAGATCCTTACAGATAATAACCTTCATTTGTTAAATTTTAAAAAAAATAATCTGTAGGTATCCTGTGGTCAACGTGAATTCTAGGATTTACAAAACTTATTTATATGTTATATAGTACTAATTCGAAGTAGCGATAACAACAAAAACTAGTTTATGTACTATTTAGTTATATAAAACAAATATATACCTGATAAATTCCAGAAAGATTATTAGTATATAAAAATATAACAGTAAAATAATCTAATATTATACTATAATATAAATCTCATTTTCAAATAAATCCCATACTTTCAAATTTGGTTTACATATTTATTCTGCATGACCTGTATCATTCACTTTTATAAATTTCCTATATCACTATCGCTATATATATATATTTCTAATTCTTTTCTCCATTATATGTCTATAAGTTCGTATAAACCTTTCTTATAACTTAAAGACATTTTATTACAACAATAACTTAATACTATGTATATTTTAAACTTCAGCAGTTTTTTTTTTCTAACACATGTCTAAAATTTAATTATTTTTTAGGTTATAATATGATGAAAACTTACATTAAGAATTTTTTTTATTTTTTTTAAATGCTTCTATTTACTTTTTTGTCAGTCAAAAGCCAAAGAACAGTAAAGTTGATGTCTCATGATTTAATCATACATCCGCAGATATCAATGCAAAACCTGCTCACTTATCTGTAATATTGAATATCCAGTTATTTAAGGGTTTCAATTAAACAAACAACTGGATTAAAATAGTAATTAGAATACATCCATACGTGGATAAGAACAAACCCAGTTCCAAACTTAGTAATATCATATCAATTGTAATTGTGTTTTTCATCTTTAATTATCGATGTACTTAAAATATAATGTAAGAAAATAAAGAGAATATCAAGGAGTCAAAATCCCAATACTTACTTTATATATTAGTGTATAAATTTGCCAAATATCAAGTTTGAATCTAGTATTGAATACTGAACTCTGGCTATAATAAACTAGAATATATATTTAATTTTTACTAGCTATCGTAGTGATATATAATTATAACAATAATCTTTTTTGAAAATTAATGGCCTCACAAAATTCAGAAACTGGTTTTAATACATTTAGTATTAGTAAAAATGAACCACAGAAGTATAGTGAAACAAATGAATCAAGTGAATCAAGTCTTTTGTTTACAAAACGTAGAAATGTTAGTAGTAAAAAACAGGGAGATATTTGGCTTTATATTAATTAAGGTGTTAGTTTAGGTCAGAGACATTATAAAGCTAGTTGTAGATATTGTTCTGTTTCATGAAAAAGAGGTTGACCAGATGATATGTGCATGCATCTTGCTCGACAATGTTTAAATGTTCCTGACGAAATTAAATATTTTTGGAAAGATTTTATTGCTAAAGAAAAAACTTCAATATGAAAAAAAACAAAACATAATCAATCTGATATTACAATTCATTTTCCAAAAGTTGAACCACTTCCTGAAGCACGAGTAGAATCTTTAAATAAAGCTATTTTAAAAGCTTGGATTATATGTAATTTTTTATTTGAAACTATAGAAAATTCTTTTATAATTGATTTGTTTCAACTTGCAATTCCTGGATATAAACTTCTATCACAGGATAGACTCTCTGGTCATTTTTTAGACCAAAAAGTTTTAAGAATTGATAAGTGAATTGATAAGTGAATTGATAATGATTTAGAAAAAGAAAAAAACTTTACTTTATGTATATAATATAATTTTTTTTAAAAATTATAATTAATAAATTTTTTTAAAAAAAATTTTTTTTGTCATAATAGCCCTTGACGGATGGACATCACCTACTCATGATTCAATTTATAATTTTATTATTACTACATCCAAGCATAAAGAATATCTTATTAAACTTAAGGAGTATAACAAAGTTAGTCATACTGAAGCTTTTATGGCTAATGAAATTTTAAGTTTTATTAAGAAAATAGATGTTGAAAAGTTTGCAGAAATTGTTACAAATTTGGGAGCAAATCTTCAAGTAGCTCATCAAATTATTCATGACACTTATCCTTCTATATTAAATTTCAGATGTGCTGCACATGCTGTAAATTTGCTTGCATTTGATTTTACTAAATTAGATTCAATTAAAGATATTGTTACAAAATGTGGTTTAATTTTAAATTTTTTTCATAATTCTCATATTGCTTACAGATATTATTTAGAACAACATCATCTTATGAAAATTAAAGATGGAGAAATTAAGTTATACTGTAAAACTTATTGGGGAACACTTTTTACAACAATAGATTCAATTGTTAAATCTAAGCCAGTTTTTGATTAGGTAAGTTTAATATTTAATATTTATTTAATTTTAAATTTATAGTAATACGTATAGTATACATAATAATTATGTAATATTTTTATATATGTATAGATTTTAGAAAATTATATGTCTGTAATCTCTAATACTGTGGTATTTGATCTTCTTAAGAACGAAGATTTTTATATTAAGTGCCGTCAGGTCTCAGTTATTTTGAAACCTGTAAAGGAATTAACAAATTGTTTAGAAGCTAAAACAGCTAATCTAGCTGATATTTTTATTGAGTTAGTTAAATTAGCTGCAAATATTAATCGAGTTGAAAATTCTAATCTGTGAAAAAGAAATATTATTATTAATTTTAATCTATGATTCGATGAACTTGTAAATTCTGTTACAATTCTTGCATACCGGTTATATCCCTTATATAGAGGTATGTATACAAAATTAGCTAAATTTTTTTTTTATATACATACATATCATCACTTAATAATATATATATTTTAGGTCATAGCTTAAAAAGAACAGTATTGGATAAAATTTATGAAACAGCTGCATTAATTTGGAATGATTTACGTTATTCGGAAAAATCATGTACACAATTATTGATAGAAATGCGAAGTTGGAAAAGAAAGAATGAACCTTACTATCTTTCCTATAATTCTACTCGTAAAACACTAATTAAATAGTGGTGTAGTATATATGTTGATAATGATCAAGATTAACTCTAACAATTGGCACTATGCTTATTCTCAATTGTTCTTTCACAAGCCATCTGTGAAAGAAACTTTTCAATGCTTAAATGGTTTTATAGCAGTAAACGAACCTGACTTTGTCTTTCTCAAGTAGAAGATATAGCAAAAATATGCTTTTACTACCTTTCAAATTCTGATAAAGAACTTCAACTTTATGGCAAAGATTTAAATTATGAAGAGTTGTATGAAAGTATTAATACATCAATAGTTACATATGATTTACTTGAAACTTCAGATGAAAATACTAATAATAGTAGGACTAATAATTTAGATAATACTAATGAAAGCAAAGATTTAGAAAGTTTAACATTAAATATTGCAGATTCAGTAGATTTAGCATTGCCAGAATTTTTAGTATCTGGAAATGCAATATTTTTTTCAGATTTTGTTACAACTAATCAGGCTAGAGATGTAGGTAATATGAATTACAATCCTATTGAGTTAGCATGTCAAATAGTACAAAATAAAAAGGATTAAAAAATTTATTATATTAGTATTTGAATCATGCATATAATAAATTTTTTTTTCATATAATAAATATAAGGTTTTCGCAATTGAAGAGTATAAAATGATATTAAGCTCAATTATTTGTTACAGACCTATGTTTAAGATTGGTAGTTTCAAAACCTAAAATTTACAACTATTAAAATTTTTTTTTGTCTTTATAGAAATATAATAATAAGAACATAGTGACTTCTCTTGCAACTAGGCTTTATACACTTGAAGACTAAAAATTAGTATTATAAATAAAAGTTGAATAAAGTTCAGGTGAAGTAGTTTTAAAATAGTCCCAAATTAAGGTCATAATTCTAAATGAAACCATAGATTAGCAGTATTTTGGATTTATAATAAAGAAATATATTATAAACACTTATTAGCATTCTATTTACTCTATTATATATGCAGATAAATAAAAACAAGAAAAGCATATCAATGAATCCAGATGCTAAAGGTGGCATAAGGCATACACTTATTACCAATATTTGATGCCAATATACTGTGCATGGATAGTTCTTGAAGGTGCCTAAAAGTGGTAAATTGAATGAACAAAATAACTATATTAATAATAAAAAACATTTCAAGTTGGCTGTTGTTATCAAATTTGGTGAAAGAGTAAGTAATATAGATAGAATATTTAATTTTATCAAAAATGAAAAAAAATTGAAGTAGAAAAGAATGAACATAAGGCATTGATTTATTATCATAAATTATGTAGATGATCTTAGATTTTATGGAATATGTAATGCTAGATATTGTTATTATGAATGGATTAGAGTTAAAAGGACAGTTATATATAATACGTATGAACTATTTAATGTTGGGTATCATGATTAAGAAGGAATTGAAATAATTAAAAAGAGGGACAATACTGATAACAATCAGACTAGTAAATATACCAAAATTTTCGATTCATATTAATCTTAAATATATTTATTCCTTGAACTGTTTATTTGTATAATTTTACAATATATAATGCTTTCAAATAAATATAAAAAAAAATTATTCATAAAATAAACAATTTTATTTGATTACATAAAAATTAAAATATTACAATGTAGTAAAACTCTCAAAATAAATGCAATACCTTAGTTTTCTATCACAGTCCTCAGGAAAATTTTTTTTTCATTCTTAGCAGTATTAATGCCATATTTATAGCATATCCAAAAATTATAGTCGCAATCCAAGATGCATTTTTCAATAGAGTTACCACCTTTAGTGAATTTTAAATGCCACCCAGTGCCTTTTTTATACTTAGCGCACAAACCATTCTTGTAGTAAAACACAAGCTGTGTTGTCTATTAAGATTGCTTTCTTTAGCATGTTGATAATGATATCAAAAACTACATTTTCCAACAAAATTACCATCTTCAGCAGATCTTAAATAACATTTAAATGCCTTTTTTACATTTTTTTTTTGGTGCCACTCTCATAATAGATTCTGTGATTCAATTTTCCATTAGTGACTAGTACTGTATTTTTGATTGCTTAAGTTTGAAGTTAGATCGCAATATGCACAAAAAAAAAATAAACTCTGTAAAGTGACAGAAGCAAGTAACTTTACCTTAAGTTTATTCTAACACCAAACAAGTTTGTTGATCTCGCATATTTGGTTGAAGTAAATGAAAGCAATAGAAGGATTATTATAAGATCACCAACTCACCAATTTACCAACTCACTAATTCACCAACTCACTGTTTCACCAACTCATCATTTCACCAATTCACTGTTTCACCAATTTACCATTTCATCAATTCACTAATTTCATCAATTTCACTATTTCACCAAAGGTTTATTTTGGTGTAATTCTGGTGAAACTATTTCACTATTTCATCTGGTAAAATGGTCTAATTTCACCAGCATCTATAATTACAACCACAAAAGGCAATTATAAAAAGAGTATACAATTAGCTATTCATACAACTTTAGTCATTGTCTAATTTAAGTAGTCTATTCAAAGGTTCTATACTAGCTGTTATATCTAGAACTTGCTTGTAGATTTTCTATTTAAATACTTTAGTTTCTAAATTTATCTATCTATCTTTGCTTATTAATAACTTTAGCTAATGCTAGTAAAAATATGCTATAACTACTAAGTTTTTAAAGCAGTTTACTCATATGAAATCTTTAATCTTGTACTAAACCTTTTAGAATCTTTTGTATCCTATTTTTACAGCTAACTCAGTATTGTTATCCAAGACTAACGCTTGCAGTTAGGGTATATCATTAAACTGCTATGTCCTTGTAGAGTTTATCTTAACTCTAATACTAACTTCACAATATATTCTTACTACTTTAATATTTTATTTAAGTTTTATCAAGCTTTTAGATCAGATAGTCTAAAAAGATAGATCATAACTATATTTCTGATTTATATATTCTTTAGCATATAATCTTTTTCTTTAAAACAGATTCTGACAGTTTGGCTAATTCTATTTAGCCTCTTTCTAAAGGCCAGTTTTTTGTCTAACTTCATAAGTTCTAGCTTTATTTCATAGATCTAATTTTTACAGTAGCATCATCAAAAGTTCAGACTACTTTTTTATTTGGATTTTTCAAGTATTTTTAGTTTCTGTAATTTATATGACTACAAGAACTTATTATGAGTTTACACCTCCTGATACCAGTTTGTGTTCTTTCATACAAGGTACAACTATTGCACAAATGCTATATAACTTCTAGTCAGGCTAGTATGATATAAATAACAGACATCTGATCCTAATTAATAGTAGAAGACAGTTAACTATAACACAAAAAATTTCAAATTTTTGTTGACATTGGGATTTGAACTTTAGACCTGCCACTTGGAAGTTGAAAATCTGACTACTTCACTAGATTACTACATCTTTATGAATTATTAGCTTTATTAATTGAATATTATAATAATGCTTATAATTATAGTTTTAAGTTATTAAGCAATAGAAATATTAGTGATCAAACTCTATACCAGTTTTACCTAGAGTAATAGAATATAAAAAACTAAAAATAAGTAATAAAATTTTTGGTTTAATATCTGTGATAAGACACAAAAGATTGGCAAAAATAATAACAAAATTTATATTAGATAATAAATCAACTAATATATATTTTGCATTGTTCAATTCTATTTTGAATATATAGTACATCTATCTAATAGCTTGAAAAAGCACAAATTGGCATTTTTAAGTCTGTTAATAACCATAAAGTTAGATATTATTGCCAAGTAGATAATATTTGTAATATTGAATTGTAAAATTAGAATTTTTATAATATAAGTAGAAATTGTATAATTCTTGTACACAATATTTTAGACTAATTCATTTCTGATACTGTTAAAGTTAGAAAGGAAATCCTAATAGAATATATATTAGTAATACCAGTTAATAGAAAATTTTATATATAATAATAAAATTTATTTAATTTCATTATTGATAGTATTTTGTTAATATTTTTATTAATTGTTTTAAATATTAAACTGTTTTATAATAATTTTAGCAGAGTAAAAATTTTATAGCTATATTGGTAGTATTTTTAAAATAGAAATATGTTTATTATTTTGAACAATATCAGATTAATACTATAGTATTATAAAAAACAAAATAGCTATATTAGTTCTTTTAATATTATTTTAGTTGTTAACAAGTTGATTTAAAAATATTAGTATTTTTAAAATCAAAACTGTATTAATATCAGTGTTTTAATATTTCTATGATTATATTTAAAATTTTTATTCTCTATTAGTTATCTAATATTTCTCTAATATTATTCTGATTATGCAACTGCCAATATGTCTTTATTCAATCTGTGCTACTTCTATCTGCAATAATTAGACCTATTAGATATTTTTTGATTTTACATTAATATATACTAATTAACTTACTAATTGCATCTATTTTTAAACTAAATTTTTTATTTATAATTGCTAATAAAGATTAAGTGATAATTCTTTAAATTAAGTTTTTAACTCTTCTGGCCTATACTAATAATTTGTGAATAAATAGATTGCAAAATCCAAAATTAGTTTTGTTAGTAGTAAAAGTGTTTAATATATAAAAATAAGCTAAGTATATAAAACATTGTAAAATAACTTATCTAATTATAACTTATAATTTTGCTAGTCTTATCAATATCAGAAAATTTTTCTTTAAATATGTTTATTAATCTAGAATTTCAAAATAATTTATGTCTTAAAAATCTTGCTTTAAATATCTTTAAGAATAGCTTTCTAAAAGTTATTGCAAAAGATGTTAAAGTTCTAGAATTAGATATATATTTAAAATATAAAAAAAATTTTTTTTTATAAAAACTTTAAAAACTATTTACTATACTTATTTGTGAACATATATATCATTATAGTTGTTTTAAGACTTATATAAAAGATCTTTTACAATATTCTAAATATGCAATAAAAATTAAATCTATTAATTATATATATTATTCTAATACTTTAAAATCTAGTTTACAAGATCAAACACAGAATATCTTAGATCTAATGCAAATTTTATCACAAATAGCACAAATAATATTTGATCAGAGTTAGAATATAGTAATCTTAGATATAATATATATTTTTATCTCTAATTTATTATATTTTTTATTATATCTAAACTATATGAAGCAGACTCAACAAGACCTAACAAAGATACTACTAAAATTAATTATTTAGTAAAAAACCAAAACAGAATAAAAAAAAAGATAATAAAAAAGATTTAATATTGTAAAAAAACTTATTATAAAATTAACATTTAATACCTTTAAACAAAACACAGATACAATAACTTTTTACCTAATAACAACTATTAAAACTAATCTACTGCCTATTAGCTTTCTAAAGTTATATACTGTTAAAGGCAAAACAGATACCAGAGTTGCTCTAATCTAGTGCTGCCTTAACTCATGCCCCTCTTACAGTAAGAATATCCCTGAAACAAGAAAATAATTGTGCATCGATTGTATCTTAAGAAACTTGGAAGCCAAGCCACCTATCTGAAACAATGCTA